GGTCTCGCCGACCCCCTCTTGACCTTCCCCTGGACCCAAGGGTGTGCCATGCAAATTTTGGCTGCTTTAGCTCTTACAGGGACTGAATGCATAGAGAACAAACAAACAAACTTTCTTCTTTATATATATAGACTAGCGGAAGTACCCGATGTCGGTCTAGATAATTTGATAGTACATGTTTGACGTATGAGAAGACGACGTCGCTATGGTCTTCTATGGATTACCGATCGGGGATATCGCACAATACGCTTGGATCTCCTGACATCAGTGATTTCAGTGGTTCCGGAGGAGGCCGAAGTGCTGGTAGCCTCACCTTACCACCAGAGCAACACATACCTGGTACTTCTCCAGGCCACTTGAGAGCATCACAGTATGAGCAAACGTCGGTCATTTGTCCAATATGAAGTTGAGGATGGCTGTCGTAGTTGTTAGCTGGATAATAGCGAAACGCTTCCCCTTCCATGAATGTCCAATGTACTGCTCGTGAGGCTGCTTGTCGTCTACGTTGATCTTCACTCCGAGTCCGTCTCTGCTCCGGAGTCTCGACTGCTCTGGAGGCTGCTTGTCTTGCACGTAGACTACCAAGCCGAGTTTGTCTCTGTTCCGAACTCTCGGCGTGTCTTGAGGAAGCTTGTCTTCCACGTTGGTCGCCAAGCCGAGTTTGTCTCTGCTCTGGACTCTCAGCTGCTCGAGAAGCACCTTGTCTTGCACGTTGATCGTCAATTTGAGTCCGTGCCTGCTCTGGACTCTCGGCGTGTCTTCAAGCCGCTTGTCTTGAACGTTGATCATCAAGCCGAGTTTGTCTGCGCTCTAGACTCTCAGCATCTCTTGAGGCTGCCATCCTATTCGCAGCTGACGTACTTCTGCCCAGCAGAGTGCTTCGTTTTGGTGGCATTTTTTACTATTTCTAATGCAAGTAAGACAGATTAGAAATACTTGTCAAGAAAAGTGTGTTTTTAACAAAATTACCTTAGAAATTTGCTCTTGAAGTCTAATCAAAAAGATCGTAGTAATCTGTGAATCTT